ATTTGGTCACCCCCATCTTTCGAATCCCCGGCCGGGGGGTGCAAGCCATTCCACAAAAGGGGAGACTTTCACAATATTCCGAACTGAACGGACGTGACCCTTGCACGCACCGGGACATAGCCTGCCGATAGTAACGCGGTAACGTAAAGCTAAGAATACATTAATTTAACAGTGTGGTGAATTAGCAGGTGAATAAACGTCAATTGGCTCAACTCTCAGAAAAACGCTTTCTTCGGCATCGCTACCCTGAGACCCATGCAAACTGACCCAGCTAGTTTCCCGTACCTATACCGATCTTCCTTAGTTTGATCTGTGAGAACAACTTGCAGTGGCCATCATACACTGTCCTAAGGTAGAAACAGGTGTAGCAGGGATAGCACCATTCCAACTGCGCCAATACAAACAAAGGCGGGTTGGAAAAGAGCGGTGTTACCACTCCATCTTACCTTTATAAGATCCATTTTAATATTCACCCACTTAGGCCTTCGTCTTCTTATTGGTCTCTTTCCTCATGTCTCTGCACCAATTGCCTACACGCCCTGCCCACCTCATCCTCCTTGACTTGATCATTATATTATACTTGGAGAAGAGTACAAGTTATGAAGCTCCTCATAATGCAATTTTTTTCCAATCTCCTGTCACTTCATCTCTCTTCGGTCCAAATATTCTCAACACCCTCTTCTCAGACACCCTCAGTCTATGTTTCTCCTTTAATGTCAGAGACCAACTTTCATACCCATTCAGAACCAAGGGCAAAATTATAATTTTTATATTTTAATTTTTATGTTTTTAGACAATCAGGTATCATAATGAATCATTTGAAATTACTAATTAAAATTAAAAGAATTACTAAGGTGGTGTAGGTCATTACATTGAAATACGAGGATCTATCATGGAAGCTTGGTCCTTGTTGTGTGTGTGAAGAGTAAAAGTATAAAAGTTGGACTGCTTCAGACGATTAAGGTTGCTAGAAGTTTTCAAGCAGAAGGGATGCATTTTTCAACAAAAAATCATAGCCATACATTGATGTGCTTCCGTTATCTCCCGTACCTGTGAGGTTTGGATATTCATGTGATATCACGACATATTTTGGTACATATTTTCTGGCAACTGAACTTCTATCGAATTAACTTTAATTGTTTCTTGCATTTTGTTGTGTATTTTGAAACGTCATTCTCATTAGCCGTATTCACACTGGATGAACTGTGGATGGCTTCNAATTATACAGTTGTGTTCGTACACCTGAGGATGACCTCTTGAGGTCGAAACATGTAGTGTAATAATAATAAAAATATGTTATGTGGTCGGTAAAATTGACTCTAATATTGTTTCTATCGAATTANCGTTATCTCCCGTACCTGTGAGGTTTGGATATTCATGTGATATCACGACATATTTTGGTACATATTTTCTGACAACTGAACTTCTATCGAATTCATTTATTAGGCCAATGTTCAAAGACGCTGTTTTGAAACGTCATTCTCATTAGCCGTATTCACACTGGATGAACTGTGGATGGCTTCCCACTGTACATAATTTCAGAAGCTAACATTAAGTGGTACTACTGTTGCTGTCACGTCACAAGTTCGCTTGTGTGCCATTATGTTATTAGGGATTCTATTAAAACTACGATATTCGGATGGACATCAATAGAAAATTTTCTATAGAGTTTTGTGCAAATTTTTCAACTGGTTCCTAAGTTGAAGTAGAGGACACATGGACACGTGCAGATGTCATGGTTATATCATAAGCCTTCTTTATTTAAGAAAGAACAGCATGGTGACACAATAATAAAATATTGTTGAGTGTAATGGCAACGAATAAACTGAAGACGAAAGAAAAATGCGATAAATACATATTATCTGATACATTACACAATGTTCAGTATGTGTAACTGCTGTGTAATATCTTATCATGTTAGTAGTACAAGAGGAAGAGGTTTAAGTTCACTTAAAAGAGCCCCAAGTTAGTTTATAATTATTCAAAATTTCACAAATTGACCGGAGCAGATTTTTCACTGAAACTGTTTACTGACGTAGTTTCTGCTTACGTTCGAAAAATATCGTAGTCCTCTTACGCAATATGAATATTACGAGCATCAGTGACGTCATACATCACATCAATATGTATACCACAGCGCAGAACTTATCGAGAGAAACCTACACATTAAGTTTCTGCACCTAATAAATTACAGTTACATAAACAAATGCTTATAATAGTATAATCATGCAAGGGATGCCTTGTATTTATGTGGTTATAAGTAATATTGTCCGTTGCGTTGACCACGCGACACGTCTATCCGCAAAATTTTGCACTAACTTTGCCGACAAGCGGTTGTCGCTCGGTCGGTATAGTTTGCTTGTGGACTATAGGCCATGGAGGAGAAAGTAATATTGTATTTAAGCATCCTGTTGCATTACTATAACTATTACACACAATAATACAGTTCCGTCAACAACGCAACTCTATTTGCAACTGCAGTTGCATTGTTGACGGAAATGTATTATTGTGTGTGAGTGGTTATAAGTGTTCAGAATCGATCAGAACATTTTTAACAAAAGGAGATAGAAGAATGATAATTTATGAAACGAGCAGTAAATACTTTGTCTTCAAAGTTGGATTTTTACGAAGAGATATAATAATATTTTATTCTTACTACAAAATAGTTGTTTCGTCTGCTGTGCTTATGAAGTTCTAGTTTTTACGACAGCATATATACAGTGCTAACACACTTCTGCAGAAATAGCCTGAACTCAATCACTTGAACACTAGCGTCTCCCTTCTGCTTATTTATGGACACAACAGTCCTATTCATTGTTTCGCAACTTCTGCCTGAACATCTGATGAATTCTATTCAGACAGGTTGAAGGGCTTCGGTGTTGTCATAAGCGCTCACAGAGAATTTTTCTCTGCTGGGAGTCGGACTTGCGGGCTAGTTCTAATTGAGCATAAGGAATTGCACAGTCTCCATAATTAACGCAAATTTATCCCTGTAACAGGCCGTGGAGGCCCATAGGGTTGTGAAATGTCGAGGCTCCCACATTTTCTAGAAAGTCGGCCCAGAAATGGCAGTAAGGTTGTCAGCCTTTCCCGCCGGCCGCCCTTTACCCCACAGGAATATTCCTGGTACTCATTTCTGATAGAGGCTGAGTCGACACAAGCACCATAGTGCGGCTGGAAGGATTGAGTAAATTACAAATTCTAGGGACATCATCGGGACGGTAATAACCAACTGTAATAATAAGGCAGCGCCATAGCTCAAGCAGTTAGTCGCGGATTCCCGCCGCGGCGGCTCGGGTTCGAGCCCGAGCCTGGTCAAGTGGGATTTGTGGTGGAAAAAGTGGCGCTGGGGTAGGTTTTCTCCGAGTACTTCGGTTTCCCCTGCCAATCTTCATTCCACCAAATTCTCCATCATCATAATCACTCGGGGCATGTACAATAGACCAATCAGTGGCCTACGTGTCGAGTGGACCCAGTTGGACTCCACCCCCAACTAAGCGAATTTAAAATAAATTAAAACTCTAATAATCGCTATATGCTGAAGACAGCCGTTCCTATCTCAGGCCGCTATTCGCTTCCTACCATGGTGGTTCGGGTTCGATCACAGGTCAGATCATGTGGGATTTGTGGTGGAAAAAGTGGAACTGGGGTGTCCTTTTCCGAGTACTTTAGTTTTCCCTGCCAATTCCCATTCCATCAACTGCTCCACACTCATTAATCATCTTATCGTCGACGCTGTATAATCTCGTTACCAAAACAGTCGTTGAATAACCAGTTTCAACTTGTATCTGGTGAACCTACTGGAAATATTGGAATTATCTGTTATTACACTTATTATTATGTTAATCTAAAATATGATTGAGGGTGCGTCATCATAAGCTAGTGGTATAGATAATTATGTCATCTCTAGGATGATGATTGAGCATGTTTTCAACACAGGATGGGAACCAAAATTAGCATGTCTGAGATCTGGTCGAAAACAGAGTAATTTTCTTCCGTAAGGTTGGCAATTCAATTAAAACGTACCCTAACACATGTTTTAGACACATTTTATCTAGTCTAATACATATCGTGACATGAAAGACAGAAGAAACAGCCATTGCCTGGTAACGGATCGATGAACACTTGCCCGCGCCAACGGATTTGCGAGCCATAATAGAGGGGCTGTTGAAAGCTCTGTTTTTCGGTGCGGTGCGTGCCGAGTTTATATAATGAGAGCTTGCAGGAGAAGATTACAGCGGGAAAGGTGTTCTCTTCCAGCCGTACTACCCCAGGACTATTCTTCGTGGCTGTGCTACACAGCAACACACAGCAACAGCAGCAGCCTCAGCCGACCTCAGTTGCACAGGTCTGCCCCTACCCTTGAGGCACCACCAAGTACTAACCAGTCAATCCAGGCTCCTAACATAAACAGTTCATCTCTGAAATACATGTTCAAAGTAGAGGCAAAGATATTTCAGCAGATTATAACAGAGCTCCCTGGGGCCGAGTCAGAAGAAGACTGAGTATTGGCCGTCACAAGAATGGTATTAAAACTCATGAAGCAAAATTACCCCTAGATTTCATAGGCGGTGAATATGACTGCGCTGACAAGGCCCAACAGCATTTGTAAAAGACAGACCCATCCTCTCGTCAGAGATGATGTTCAATTTTAACAAGCCCTCAAATGTTTAAGAGTCCTTAGGCCACAGGTGGGTGCTTAACACCAAGACAGACTGACCGACTGACCGTCGGTCGTAACATAAGTTTGATTTTGAGTTATTCAGTTACGACAATGAATAGTTGTGAGAAGGTAGGCAGCAGGCAACGACGTAAACACGAGAGCAGTTGAATCTCCATTGTTGGGAACCGTAACCTAGAGACTCTTAGTATATACAGTCACAAAGCAATGACTGCTTCTTCTGGCTTCCGTGTCACAATGTGTAATCCACATAGCGGTTTTGGGATTCGTTATATAATTTTCTTGTACACAAAGTAAGTCATTCCCATTGGACTGCGACTCTTTGGGACCACGGATGAGAAGGTAGAGCTGAGGTTGTTGTAGCTCTCTGCTTGATTCAGACGATGTACTCCTTCTCTCGACTTAGAAACCAGACGTTCATAGGCTCAGATTTACCCTTCATGTTCACTGGGCCCCGGTAGTCGAAGTGGAATTGTGGGTCAGCGTTACTTGGCCGACATAGGTACCTGCAATTTGGAACAGACACATAATATCCAAAGTAAATGATTACTAATTACCTACAACGTGGTCTAGTGATCAGAGTTCCTGGTTACAGATCCAGAGTTCCGGATTCGATTCCCGAAGCTATCAGATATTCTGAGAAGTAGTGGGTCTGGAACGGGGTCCACTCAGCCTCGTGAGGATAATTGAGGAGCTATTTCAAGGAAATAGAGGCTCCGGTCTAGAAAACCGAGATTAACGGCTGTGAGGATCCGTTTCCTTGACCACGTGACACTCTCTATCCGCAGAAGTTGGCACTAATTTCGCCGACAAGCGGCGGTCGCTCGGTCTGTATAGTTCGCTTGCGGACTAAAATCACAGAGTTCGTTTTTCCTTTGTTTTTCATCATCATTGGAAAAATAGCCCTTTCGAGCCATTGTCTTCCTCAGAAGATTCTGAGAGATTGCATGTGGTTTTCACTTCTTTGGATTTTGCAACAATATATTTTTAAGAGTAAGGTCATCAACCTTACGTCCAACGCCCAACCTGGTGGACCAGGGCACTGTACTTATGTTCCCCAGCTACAAGTTGGCACAGTTATATCCCCAGGCACCGGTTTCCCCTTCCTTCCCTTTATATAACTCCCAGGGCTACGGTGGAGGTATGCTAACCCGCCTGCATGCGGGGATATTACCTAGAGATTCAAGACTAGATATCGAGACTTCATACAAAACATTTAATGATGTTAGATTAATGAAACGATTGAAGGCACTTAGACCGAATGATCAAAATAAATTGATGTATGGACAATTTTGAAAGATGTTTTTGGAAGTATTGAAAAATGAGGCTTGACAAATGACAGTTAAGTCCTATAATGACACAATTTAAATTAAAGGTTTTATTCAATGATACAAGCAGGTGAGGTGTAATGAAAATTTGAGGTTGCTGTCCCGAAATTTACGCTGTAAGATTGAAAGGAAATTATTAAAAACTTAAAAAATTATTGTAGTGAGGCAAGTTTGCATGCACCCCTTTCTGTAGTTGTGGGGCACGGAGAGTCGAATATAATTCGCACTTTTTTTTAGAACAAAATGCATCACAGAGGGCTGACTATCTGGAGAATTAAAGAAATTAAGAAATGAGGACCTCTGCTCATAGTACAATGATATTATTATAGTAAGAACATGGGAGAAACAAAATTTGTGTACAAAATTTTGAGAGAAAATCTTATGAAATTTTAATATTTAAGAATAATGCTGAATATTGAGGATAATATTAAAATTGATTTATAAGAAGAACAGCTTACAGTTACGTGGATTAGGCATAAATTTGCCATTATGTATTTATTATTTAAATATAGGCCTATGTTTTGAGTTTCATATATATATAAGGTAAGATGAAGTTATAATTGGCCGGTTACAATAGCCGCGCGGTCTAAGGCATGAGCTGTCTTCGCTCGCTCGAACACTGAAGTCGTGGATTCGAATCCCACTCAATGTATGGATGTCTCTCTCTACGTTTATTCTGTGTTTGTGTTGTCCTGTGTGAAGGTAGCGGCCTTGCGACGGGCTGATCCCCCGTTCAAGGAGTCCTACTGTCTGTGTAAAAATGATTACGAAACTGAAGAAGAGGCCAGGGCCCAACGAAGGGCCGTAGAGCCATTGATGAATGAATGAATGAAATTTATAACTGCGAGTAATTAATTAAGTACTGTGTCATGAAGATGTGTGAGGGAATGGAAGTACACCTCCACAGTTCTTGATCTCAGCACTAGATGGAGGTGAGTGGTCAGCTTCACGCTCCCGCCGCATTATGTTCTAGGAAACAGCTTTCGGTACCCACTCGATAGGAGAATGGATGGGCCCCAGGGTCGATGTATCGTTAATGGAACCCAGAATCCTCATTAAGAGTTATATAAGGAAATGGAACAAATTCAGAATTATATGAGATTGGACTGTGTACTACTAGTCGAAGCTGGCCATGTGACGTGAAGAAACCTTAGAAGAGAACCAATCCGGTTACTGTAATCCATCTGGAGGCACGCTCTATGCCCCGTTGTCAATCACATGCAGGTCCTGTTCTCAGTTACAGTGTTAGACTACTTTGCAGTAGAAAGCAAAATACATTCTTATTTAGAAAACGCTAAAGTTTTAGTGTAGTGATAAATAGTAACTTATTAATTCATGTATAAAATTTAGGATCTGAGGCATATTAAACTCCAGCATATCCTTCAGAACTTGATAGTTGCTTAGCTGGAAATAAATTCCACGTTTTTTAGGGAACGTGAAATTTTATTACCGTGTTTGCGAGAGCATATAGGGGTTTGAGACATCGAGGCTCCCATATTTTATAGACATTCGGCTCATAGATGGCGGTGAGATTGTCGCTTTAAGCGCCGGCCGCCCTTTACCACCAGGAAGATTTCTGGTACTCATTTCTGTTAGACGCTGATTCGATCTCAGGATCATAGTGCGGCTGGAAGGATTACGTCAATTGAAAATCCAATGATTCCATCTGGAATCGAACCCGAAACATTCCTAGTTCTAGCGTAGTGCTTCAACCAACCTCGTGCACTATCTGTCCTACAGCAGTTGAATCGAGACCACATACACACTAAAACCTTATAATTGTTTTTAATATTATCTTATATAGTGGTCTTAAGTCTCACGACGGATATCATTGCTTCAGTTTTCCGAAACAAAGTTTTGAATGCGCTTCTCATCCCCCCCCCCCGAGCCAGACATTCCCCCTCATTGTTTGCTGCTTATTACGTCAGCCTAACGGTAAACATTTTCGACGAGGACTAATTATGCAACTCCCCATTATGTATAATTCTCCATCCTACTGTTACAGTCTCTCCTTCAGATTCCGGTGGAGGCCTGTCTTCAGATGTTTCTTCTTTTTCACTGTCAGTCTTTGTTCTTTCCTTAGCCTGACAAACCAAATTCCACTCCCATATAACGGAAACAATCATACACCCAGTTTTCTATGTTTGAAACTGACCGCAAAATAAAAAAAGCGATTAGTCTCTTAGTATCAAATGTTACTGATTGCACCCTCTCACGTGTAACACATCTTTTTATAAAACTTATTAAAAGGTATTTATTTTAAACATTTTGCACATAAAATAACTTTTTAAAATATTTTGACTACATTTTTCGACCAGTATGTTCATCATAAAAGTGTTTAAAATTATAGCTGAGAAAACTCCTGTGCTTCTGTTATTAATTTTTAGTGTATGGTCTCGTTTATGTGTATATGTGTTCCAAGTGATGGGTTGTTCTTCCTGCTGTGTTGTGTTATGTGTCTTTTTACGGTGGAAATAGTAAAATTTGATACTAAGAGATGTGCTGTAGGATGCTACAATATAATATTAAAATTAGTCTCTGCCAAACAACTAATTCAAAAGATTGATAATGGAAACGCAATCAAAATTATTCAAATATAGAAAGATATTTTAAAAATATGCCTAACCATTCTCGACTGAATGGTATCAAGCATTACCTGAATTCAACCTGCTCTTAATTTCTTCCTGGATTACATTTTGATGTTTCTGTGATTCATGATTTACTTACCTACTTACATACTTACTTATGGAGTTGAGCCCTTCTTGAGGAGAAGCCAAATCTGCAGCTACTCACGAATTTTCCAGCATTTTATGGAACCAGAAGGTTCATTATCGTGTTCACAACAGCCCTCCACTGGTCCCTATCCTGAGCCAGATCTATCCAATCCATATCATCCCATCCTATTTCTTCAAGATCCATTTTAATATTGTCCACCCACCTACGTCTTGGTCTTCCCAGTGGTCTCTTTCCTTTTGGCTTTCCCACCAATATCCTATATGCATTCCTTTTCTCCTCCATTCATGTTATATGCCTGCCCACCTCATCGTCCTTGACTTGATCATTATAATTATACATGGAGAAGAGTACAAGTTATGAAGTTCCTCATTATGCAGTTTTCTCCAACTTCGTGTCATTTCATCCCTCTTCGGTCCAAATATTCTCAATTCCCTGTTCTCAAACACTCCCAGTCTATGTTACTCCCTTAATGTCAGAGACAAAGTTTCACAACCATACAGAACCACAGGCAAAATTATAGTTATGTATATTCTTTGGACTTCGAAATTATTAAATCGATGCTTATGCAACAGAGGTGCTGTCTGAAGCTAAGAGTGTTGATAGGCCAACCTGTAAGCGTCCTCGGACACGTTGATTCGCCCAGGTTCGCCAGTAGTTTCGGTGCGACTCGTGAGGTTGACGGTGTTGCCGAAGAGGCAATAGCGCGGCATTCGGTGCCCTATGACGCCCGTCACCACTTCACCGGAATGGATTCCAATTGTTATCCTCTGCAATAAGAAGCATACTGTCAGTACGCGGGAAAGTCAGAAACCTAATTACATTTTGGTTTATTATAAACATGTCTTCAACATTGAGAAAGCTCTGGATGTATACAATATGATCTCTCTACTACCGGAAGTCATGACTGAGTGGCTATCACTCCTGATTTGTAGGCTGAAGGTCCTTGGTTCAAATGACGACCAAAGGGGCTCCTATCCCGGCCGAAGTTTTCGTGGAAAGCACCTCAAATTAGGTCACGACCACTTCCTTTATCATTCTTTCCATTTCGTTATTCGCTAATAGTCAAAGCATTCGAAGCTATATAGACGGAGTCACTGAGAGCGTCGTTAAACAAATTATAAATAAGGAAATGTAATCGTTTCTAATGTAGTTATATTTCACATTATTTAGTAATGATATTACAGTGACACGTTCTATATGGCTGTTTCTTTGTTAGAGCGCACTATACAGAATGTCCTAGGAGGTAAGGTAAATAAATATTCTTTGAGGTCATAGTATCGGTCATTTTAAGCAAAAAAGAAAAAGAGGTGTATATGTACATGTGACCTCTTCCGAAAAGTTTCCAAGATAGAGCTATTTAACCGTACAGTACACTGTACATTGTACAGAAGTGGAACACGCCATGTCCTCACATCAGTTGCAAAGGGCATTGATGTCTGTGGGGTAATTTTTGAAAATATATTATATTATATAAACTGTATCAATTTTGTCACTTGAATAATAAATACCGGTATTAGAAACCATACGTAATAGCTCTTTCTTATTAACAGTTTTGGAACTGTAGAGTGAAATAGCTCTATTTCGGAAACCGTTCGGAATAGGACACGTGTACTCGTACGTACATTCACACAATTTTTTGCTTAGAATGACCGATACTATGACCTCCCAGGATATTGATCTCTCCTCCTGGGACATCCTGTTGAAACGTACCACCGCCCAAGGACCGAAAAGTGGTTTGGGATAGGAAACTATATTAACAATACAGACACCAAATAAATATAATAATATAATTGATAAAAAAAATACAAACTGCCCCAGATGAGGACGGCACAACGTACAAGCGTCCACCAACTCCGCCGTTAATTTAGTAAACCAAAATTCCAAGAAATAATTTGGGGTCGAGACCAGACTCTTCCACGGCGTGCAGCAGAATGGTCCTCCAGTGTTCAGACGAGCCTCTCAGTCCCTGGTGAAAGGATGAAGGGCGCAAGCGTAGGGCATGTGGAGAAGGGGAAAAGGAAAGAAGGGGGTCTGGTTGAGGGACATGGCGGTGGTTGCTGCCGTTACACTGTAGAAGAACAAGTTCTGAGATGTGAATATTCTGGTCAAAGTGTTTGAGAACCATTTAATTTTATTTAAGGTTGATAGTTAAGTATAATTAGCCTAATGAAGCATAGAGTAGTAGTCCTATGTTTCTATCTATGGAAGTCTGAGTCCAGTCTCTGGACAGTCCATGTGGGTTTCATGGTACAAACTCTTCTTCGTTGTATTTTTCTAAAGGAATTCTCAGTTTCCCTTTACCTCAAATTCTCCATACTTTCGTATCATCGTCCTCATGCCGACGAGATTGGTCTGTATTCCGTAGGTACTCGGTTCGTACCTCGGCTGAGACACCGGCTATTCATGCATGATGTTATTCGTGGCTTTCTTTTTTTATTGGTGGGGTGGGACTAAGTCTCTTGCACTGCGGCCACTTCTGGCCTATTGTACCAGCCGCAGATGATAGGTGAGGGTGATTGTGGAGCAATTGGTGGAATGAAGATTGGCAGGGAAACCGAAGTACTTAGAGAAAACCTGCCCCAGCGTCACTTTGTCCACCACAAATCCAACTTGACTAGACTCAGGATCGAACTTGGGCTGCCGTGGTAGGAAGCCAGCGACTAACCGCTTGAGCTATGGCGCGGCCTATTCGTGGCTTACTTCAGGCCCTCCAAACATATGCCGCGATAATGCCTCGATTAAACCACGACATAATCCATCAAAATATGTTAAAATTCATTTATCGGCGTACCGTCTGACGACCTACAGACTAGATTATGGCAGATTCCTTAAGTAACCTACAGGAACTCATTATCATTAGCGGATTGAACATGAAGTCCATTTGAAGCCTTGTATTGTAAAAGATTTTACCACTGGTTCGCCGTCCACTTGAACTTCCCTGCCGAGGTCCATCATGTCAAGGGCAAGACGAGCTATGCAACGGGCGTGTGTCTGGCAAGGTTCGGGCAGTCCACTCACCGCCATGTACTTGTCACCGACTGTCTCCACCTGGATACCCAAGCACATAGAATATTCTGTGTAAGCAAGGTCAAGAACTAACTCCACGTAGCTGAGTCCTTCTTGAGAAGCCACTGGTTTTGCAGCTACTCAAAAGAATTTCCCAACATTTATGAAACCAAAATTTCACTACCGTGTTCACAAGAGCCCTCCACTCGTCCCCATCCTTAGGCAGATCAATCCATGCAAGACCATCCTTCTAAGACAACTTTCCTTGTACAGATTTCTTATTTTCCTCGTACAAAATCTCATATCCATTTTCTTTAGCTTAGGTCCTTATCCCAAGAATCCAAGTGCTAAGCTCTTTGTGACATTTCGTAACAAAGTTATTGTTTAAAATGAGTTTTAGCCCAACGCCCAACCTCAAGATGGAGAACCGCCCCTTGTCTGCTGCCCGCGAGTACGTATTAAACACATTTGCAGCTACCGTCCATATCTGGTGGCCATCTTCTCCATCCGCAAACTGAGGACACGACATGCCGTGGTGACAAGGGTTCCACTTAACATGGCAGCAAGAACCAGAACCGCTTCAATAAATGCATGTTGTCAGTAATTCATGAAAGTGTGTTTCGTTGTTGATTGATCAAAGCTCCAAGGTCACTGATTATCCTGAGAATTATCGTTGTACTATCAGTTTTCACTATTAGCGTTTTCAGTCGCCATGAGAAAATATCAATACTGTATCTTAAATTCAGCCACGACCGCTTCCTTCCGTACTTTTTAGTTCATCATGTAAATAAACAACAAGTATATAAAATATTCCGTGTAATTTAGGTTCATAATGAAGAAAGCTGTTTGCGATAAACATATAACAAAATTAATAAGGCAATTAATGAAAGAAATCTTGTATCGCCGTGTAGAGATTGCTGAGGGTCTCGGAATTTACTCTCGGTGCGGAGACCACCGCCCAGTCAGATTCTGGTATACAGCCCTAAAATATTCCACGAAATTTTCCACATTTTTGGATTTCATCATAATCATTAAATTTTTCGATATCACTTAAATCACTATTAGAAGGTCCCTTATAAGGCAGACCCCGGGGTTGGCGCAGAATGATATGTCCGCAGAAGGGACAGACGTTTGTTCTTCTCAGTTCCCATTACTTCTGCTCCTTAGACCCCTGGGAAGGAACATTTAAACATCGCCATATATGTATATGAGTGTGACTACTGGTTACTTGATTTATTGACCACTTATACCCACTACTCGTAGCTACAGGTAATTATAACAGCCTTATTGATTTACACAATCCAGACATCCCTGTAACTGCAGAACACATAAAGTCTCCTATGCCTTCACTAGTCGTTTCCTGGTAACGGTTTCTAACAATGTCCTTTGCTTGCGTCCTTACCGGCTGGCGAATATCCCACAACTGTCTAAACTGAATCTGAGTTACTTTACCACTGACGGTTTACAGCCAATCATTTCGTCTTGGCGCCAAGCACGACCAGAGTCCTTTGTGCAACTGAACCCTTGCAGACTTAGTCCTTACGTAACACCCGCTCTGAAGAGGAGATGGGTTTGTCTCTTGTGAATAGCTTGGCCTCTTGTCAAGTGTATATATCGCAATTGGAGGCCTGGGCGCTGCCTAGCAACGGCTGTTTTCTTGTTTGTTTCGCGGTATTTTCCTAGTAATGGGTCTATAAACCATAGTATGAATTAACATATGCAGTTGAGACAGTATCGTTGAATAAACCAAGAATCAGCAGAAAATACCTTATAGACGTTGGGGTTCTTCCTGGGATCTGTCAGGACGTCAAACGCTGTGTACAGCTGGTTGAGGAGGCGCACGATCTTCATAGCGCCTCTTGAATCCGTGTTTGTGGCGCAATAGTCGCTGAAGCCCACAATTCCAGAGAAGAGAAGCGTCACACAATCGTAGCGTCGCGCTGGAACTGGACGCTTGTGACGTAGTTCATTGGCGACACTTATCGGCAACACGGAGTACAGCAGTCTGCGGACATACTGAATGTTCAGCTGAAATCTGAACAGACTGAAGTAACATAATGGCTTACAGACTTACTAACATACTAGCCTACGAACTAGTTTACAAAATAACTTGCTCTTTAACTTACTGTCTAGCTAACTTCTTGTATGTCAAAATGGGTTATATATATCAGCTTACTAACTTCATAACTAGTTTTTAACTGGCTACGGGCTATTAGAACGAGGCATCGGAGTTTGAATCCCGATAAGGTCAAGAATTTTGTTCTCTCCATGTCATCCAGACTGTTTCTGGGGGCCACCCAGCCTCCTCTCCAAAGGACACCAAAGGTTCTTTCCACGGGGGTAAATGATGCGGAGCGTGAAGCTAATCACTCACCTCCAACTAGTGCCAAGGTTAAAAAATGGATCTATTCAACCATTCGCTTATATGCCTTCATGGTGTAGTGCTTAATTAGTTAATCACAGGAACAACTTTACTTTTTCTGACTAATTAAATGACTAAATTAAATATTACTAGCTCGAAGTAGGAGACCATGCATCCTACTTACAGAAAACGGATTGTCATATGATATTTCATTATGTATTTTGATGTATAGTGTTTTATAAAATGGATGAAGATGAGATGATAAGAGAGTTCTTAAATGGAAAGGTAGCTACAGCATTACACAACATTGGCATTGTTCGTATAATGTCGTACAACTTGACTGTAGTTTATAAGTACTTTATAACTTGTTGCAAGGCGGACGTATGTTTGTGTTCTCAAAATCGAATCTTGTGGATTACAAGTTGTAAAATGATACAAGATCAACAAAAAAGGAGGAAGGATCACACCCTTTCGTTGTCTAATGCAGCAATAGAGTCTAGGCCTGTATTCTGAAGTTACTGGGTTCGAATTTGTGCTTCCTCACCAATTATATCCTCAGTCTCTCAATAAAAATTATTGTTACATGCCACATGAAAGGCGGAATAGTAGAGACAGAAGAGACGACCGTTGCTAGGCAACGGCTCGATAAACACATGTCCGTGTCAACGGATGCACACCCAACAATAGAGAAACATTTAGAAGATTCTATGACGTGTGTACCGAGGCTGCGTAGTGAAGGCCATCGGGAAAAGTTAGCCAGTGCCTTCCTTATGCATACGCTTATACAACAAAATTGTGCAGGCAACAAGCAGAAACCATAGAAAATCACGAGAATGAACATGTTCGCAACATAAGAAGAGACGAAACCAGACACAGAAAATATAAGTGGCTTAAACTTGGTGGTGGTTAAGCGTACGACTGTTTAAGTGACTAAGCTGCCGTTGTAACATAAGATAAGTAAGATTGACATGACCTGCTCTGCAAATCCTGGACTGGAATAATTTTCGAAAACATGCTATGTGTGTGGTACGTACACCTGAGAAAGGTCAAATATTCGTATTTATAAGAGACAAACCCATCCTCTCTTCAGAGAGGATGTTACATAAGAACTATGACTGCAAGAGATCAATTGGGAAAAGATCTCTGGTTCTGAGCCTTAAGAGGCTTGGCGTCGAGACGAACTAATTGACGATAAACTGCCAGTCGTACAATAAGTTTGATTTTGACTCTGAGTTAGCCAGTCATGACTAGGAGTTGCGGTCATGAGGAACTGAGAGAAAGTCGCCATCAAGTAAGAACGTGAATATGGGAGTAGAAGAATCTACATCGTTGGGAGCCGTTAATAGGCAACGACTGGTGAGGAAATAGAATACTTTATGTGTGTTGCAGTGCAGTGATTTATAGAATGCGTACATCCGTGGAACTGTTATAGCTATCTGTAGTTGCGAGTTACAAGAGTCCAGTAAATCCATTATTAATCCAAATCCCGTGTCTAGTTACTAAATCGTGATAGTATAAACAATAGCCTTTCCAAACGCTTTCAGATTTATCATTCGCTGTTATCCTACTCTTCAGATCTAGATAACTTACCAAGATGGACACTCGTTGTTATAAAGACATGGATTAATATTACTTTTCTTCATTCATTATTCTGCATATTTCTCTTGAGAGTAGGACTATTTTTCATTTAAAATCGCTTCGATAAATAAGTCAAGAATGAACAAAGAAGGCTCGCAACCTGTCTGTCTTCTGTTTCTCCCCTTCCAGCTCGCGGTATGTCTGTTGCAGCTTGTCAGTAAGGAGCTCCAAGTTTCGAGTCAGCTTGTAGTCTGCTTCAAACTGCTCAGACATTAGCACCAGGTCCCTGGTCGCGTCGTGAAGAGGAATGTCGCTTATGTAGAGGCCGCGTCTGGAACATTCCAGGTCTTCCTAGAACCATCATTTTAATAATTTCGCGAAATATGAAATAGTGAAAGAATGCTGTTAGGAATGTCTGATAAAGAACCAATCAAATGCTGCTGAAGTGTATAGCTAGTAGAGGTTTTAACATCGGCTTCGGAGGTTTATTTTACAGACAGTTTGCGAAATGTTATAGAACAGAAAATGTGTCATTATCATAAAAATAACTCAGTTTTGCCTCAGATGAATTTGTCATCCTCATAACCACTTTCAGGAACAATTCCACAAACAGCAGTTTTAAGATTCAGTGTTAGCTTCTAAAACAATATACAACTTCTTTATTAACGGTCACAACACAACAAATATCAAGGTCAATGTCCAGCTGCGGCTCTGCTACATGTTTCGGCTATCAATAGCCATCATCATGCAAATACATGTTTTACATATATACACCACTGAACTGCAGTACTATTAAACTGGATACAATACTATTAAATATAAAAACACTTGACGTAAAAAATACAATAAATCAGATTATATAAAAAAACAGAAGTTATAGTATAAAATAAGAATAAAATTTTAATTGATGTTTTATAATATCGAATCAGTCGTTGGTTTTGTAATTTCGTACATTCCCATGGACAAATTTGAATATTCTATATTTTTTCTTTTTGTATACAAGATTGTGTAGGAGGCTCGTGATGTAGATGTAGTAAATTAATGTTAATTGTTTAGTTGGTGCCTCATCTTACAAAGTGTTGTCCGTACTGTAGGGAATGTAAATATTCTCTACATCACGAGCCTCCTATAAAATCTTATATACAAAAAGAAAAAATATAGAATATTCCAATTTGTCCATGGGAATGTACGAAATTACAAAACCAACGACTGATTCGATATTATAAAACATCAATTAAAATGTTATTCTTGTTTTATACTATAACTTCTGTTTTTTATATAATCTGATTTATTGTATTTTTTACGTCAAGTGTTTTTTATGTTTAATAGTATTGTATCCAGTGTAATAGTACTGCAGTTCAGTGGTGTATGTATGTTAAACATGTATTTGCATGATGATGGCTATTGATAGCCGAAACATGTATCAGAGCCGTAGCTGGGCACTGACCTTGATATTTGTTGTGTTGTGACGGTTAATAAAGAAGTTGTATATTATAACACAACAAGGTGCATGAAATGAAAATTCTAAAACAATATTTATTTAAATATTTGGAAGGACTCTTTGTTCTGAGGATCGGCCAATTTCGCGTTTATATCTACACAAAACAGCATAAAACAGAAAAATAAAAGTGCATATCCTTCCGCTGTTATGCAGCCGAACAAAAGTCCCAGTGCTGAAGCCGTCCAGGACCGCATATTGCTTCTACTTTACGGTTACATTCATAGTCAGACATGGATATACGCTCATAAATTTACTAATATCTGTGAAAATTGGTACAGAGATCATGCCACAGAATGCCTTGGCAATTTTAGGCATTCTTAACAAACTAAAAGAAACTCCTTTTGTAGAGATAACATCTATCCGTCTTGTAATTATTATTAACAGTATACTCTCAGATATATATTGTGACATGTTGACCCCTACCTCCCCAGCTGCACGTAGCGGTAACGTAGCGCTCGCGTAATAGGCGAGTAATCACCCCGCAACTCTCCCCACGGCGACGTCACGAGCGGCGCCGAGCGAAGGCGAAGTGAGCCGAAGTTAGCCGAGTCCTAGCATCCTGGTCGCTATGCAAAGCGAGTCAACAGCGATGACGTCACCAAGGGCAGCACGGGTAAACAGGATTGCGAGAGACGACGGTGGTAACAGCGATTACTACCACTAGCGTTACTAGCAACACAGCGCCAGGCAACAAGGGTGCTTATTACGTGGCCGTTTTCTGTATTGTCCGATCGAGGCTACATGAGGCTCAGCGAAGGCTATTCACAGTTAGTCCTGGAGCTACCTACGAGTTAGTCCTCGAGCTACCTCCGAGTTAGTTCCGAGTTAGCCAGCAACCAGTCAGTTGTATTCTGGCATTTGGAGTGTAGTATTTGTGATACTG